GTATGAGCTCAAACTGACATAGCCTACCTTGTGCACAGAGAAAGCAAAAGCCAGATGTGTTTTGTATTCATACCATCAGTGTGCAGTTGGCGCATTGTGTGCTTAGTAGATGATGGCTTGTGTGTACTGTTTGATACGGAAACACCATTTTTACGAAGGTGTGAAGAGTTAATCTAACTGTGTTCGCTTTTGCAAGAGAACTACAATGTTTTGATAATTGGGTGACAGGTTTTCTTATTTGTGTGTAGAGTTTTGCAAAAATAGCCAATAGTTACAAAAAATGTTCTTAAGCAATCAGAAAAAACTGTATAGTGTTGAAACATGATGCTTTTATCTACCTATAAAAAGATTGTATGGTGTCTCTTAACAATGAAGGAAATAAAGAAATGACACCACTCATTGCTTTTGAATATTAAATTAATTTTGTTGTTTTTGGGTTACAGATTTTGGAGAAGATGCACTGTGACCTCTACTCATTTGGAGAAAAAAGTAACAGTATGAGGAAGACACTGAATTCAGTCATGAATAATATCAGTCAAATTACTATATCATTCCCATGATAAGTGTATGCGAACTTCTGACCACAGCTGTATATATAAAACTCTCTTAGTTAAGGTTTGTTGTCATTTCTTTAAGCAGTCTTCATGAATAGGTCTCCAGACTTCTTGAAGGACATTCAAAGTTTTCCTTTGGATGTTGGCTGCCTTTTGTTCTGTTGTCTGTTAGATGATCCCACGCTGTTTCAATAATGTTGAGATCTAGGTTCTGATATTCAGGTATGCTTTTACTGCATTGGCAATGTTTCACTTTCATGCTGAAAAATGAAGCTGTTGCCAATCAGATCCTTTCCAGATCGTAGTGCACCATGGATCAAAGACCGATGGTACTTTTCTTTATTCATAAATTTATTAATTTTGACAAGATCACCAACATGCCTATCTGCAGGCCCAAACCATGTCAGAGCCTCCCCCATGTTTTACAGATGTCTGCAGACTCTCAGTGTTTTACCTCTCTCCTGACCTCCTTGATACACACCAACAATGATTTGAGCCAGCATTTTCACATTTGGATTTATCACGCCATCACACCTGTTGCCACTGATTTTTCAGTTCTTGTATAATGGTGAATACCTCAGGCTTTTCTCCCCATTTCCCTTTCTTAAGAATGACTCCTCGACAGTCACTTCCATTGAGATCGTTCCTGACGAGGCTTCATTGAACAGCAGGATCAACTAAAGGGCCAGCTACATCTCTCAGGACCTGTGGATTTGTGTCCTATCTCATAACAATGTGACTTTGAGATATTTTCATCTGTTGTAGATTGTTTTTAGGCCTGTCACTAGTAATTTTGTCCTTCACTTGTACCATTTCCTTATATTTTGTTAAAAGTTCAGCATGCTGTGTAGCAAATACGTCTTTGGGAATCGCCTTGAGGTGCAAAAATACAATTTAATGGATGTTAAACTGTGTTATCTTTGGCCTGTCCAACAAAAGGCACCAAGAGGAGTTCCCACATATTATCAGTGTGGTTTGTTATTATCAGTTTGTTGTGCATTTTAGTAGGTACTTGGTCAAAGTTTTGGTACTAGGTAGATGAATTTGTATTTTGTTTAGTTTTATCATACATTCCTTTTATTTCATTTTGTTTGGGGTTTCGGGGTTTTTACCTTTGTTCTATTAATATCCTTGTTAATAAATGTCACCTTTATTGCAAAAAATCCTCAAACATGCCACATCATTTTCTGGTGCCTGACATTAACAATTACCCCGTTTAGGGTCTCAGTGCAACATTTGCCAAACATCATAATCTACTTTAAATATGTACTGTACTATTTTTATTGTAAAACAGCAATAGCGTGTGAAAAAATATGAATAGAAATAATTTGAAATATTACTAATATTGTCTTTTTCATTGTGATATATTATTTTTATTATAACTACTTTTCAATACAATAGATTATAAATATGTATTTACATAAATTGATTAGAATATTTAACCAGTAAGAAAATCCCTAACTCACTGTAGAGGGTTACAGAGTGTTTTCTTGTGTAAGCCAGACTTCTGAATTTGCTACCCTGGTGCATTTCTTTTTACAACTGTGCGCAAAGAAAACTGCACCAGCAACAGCAAGGTGGTTTTAAAAAAAATAGGGGAAAAAATAGTGTAAAAATTAAATTATTTAAATTGGCCTTGGTCTTCCCAAAATCTGTCACCATCTCTTACGGTTGGAAGTGATTGTAATCTCAAAGTGATCCACACGTTCCCTGTAACGTCTCTTTCCCACCTCTGACAAATCCCCACAGCTGCAGACTTATACAAGAATATTTTTTTAAAGACAACTCAGCCGAGAGTGATACTGGAAGTCAGGAGTGTACAAGGTGAAGAGAAAAGGTGAGAGTACCATCACCAATGGTGCTCCCATACTGTGACACACACACTGTATATAAATGTTACATAGTTTCAGTATTACAGTTTTTCTCAAATGCTAAAACACATGTCACAAACGTTACCACCAGGTCCCCCAATGTCCAAAC